AAAGTGACCTTCGTTACTTACCACAGATCACGAAATGTTACCAATGGGTATTTGGCCAGTTTTTTTCAAAGGGCTTTTTTTTTTTTTTTTTTTGGTCTTATAAAATTAACCCTAATTCCTTAACAACATCTCAACACCTCTGGAAATGCTATTCCAACTAAAGCCTTGGTAAAATAACCAGTGTTATTTCAGCTTCCAGTATGTGGCTGGAGCAAGCATGTTGACCATTTTAAAAGTTACTTTTGTCTTCTATGGGCTAGTGAAGTTTAGCTGTGAGAGTTTAGTTGGCTATGTAGCTTTTTATACATTGCTTGAAAAGCTACAAACAGCTTACAAAATAGAAAATGGTTTTTGTAGCTTCTTAAAAGGTAAGAATCTTTTTTCTTTGGCAAAGATTCAGTTTCCTAAATAATTTAAACAACAAAGTTACTACATTTTACAAATGAGGGACAATTTATGTAATGTAATACAAAACAGATTCTCATTGAACTTATGCAAATAACTGTACCATCAGAAATTAAGAATACTCACAAATAGCTTTTAAATTCCAGAGACATCAAGGAGAGAGAAAAAAAATATAAGTTTTAAATTCTGCTTATAAGTACATATATTGCTTGAAAAGCTGCAAATAGCTTGCAAGATAGAAAATGGCTTTCTTGACTTCTGGAAAACAGAACACAAAAAGAACTAGCAATATTTCAAACAAAAAGCCTTAACAAATCAGTCCAGTTCCACATAATTGATTTTTGTTTTTTTTGAAGTTAGATTAGCAATACTTATAGACATGTGAACTTTCCAATCAAAGTTCTAAAAGTCTGCTTTTCCTTTGAAGATATTAGAGATTTGATCAGTTTCTCTTAATATTTTTTGAAGGGGGCGGCACCTGTGGCTTAGTGAGGAGGGCGCCTGGTGGCAGGTTCAAACCCGGCCCCATACAAACTGCAACAACAACAACAAAAAATAGCTGGGCGTTGTGGTGCAGACTACTTTAGTCCCAGCTATTCAGGAGGCTGAGGCAAGAGAATTGCCTAAGCCCAAAAGGTGGAGGTTGCTATGAGCTGTGATGCCATGGCACTCTACTGAGGATGACAAAGTGAGACTCTGTCTCTAAAAAAAAAAAAGAAAGAAAGAAAAAAATATTTTTTTTTTTTGAAGGACAAACTTTGGATTAGTTAGAAAAATTTTTTGAGATGTATTAAAATATACAATAAGACAGACTAATATTTTACAATATTAGAATATACATATAAATATAATTTATAGGCTAGGCACCTGTAGCACAGTGGTTACAGCATCAGCCACATGCCCCGAGGCAGG